GTTTGAAATAAGCTTGTGTTTGAAATTGTTCGTGAGGTCATTGCGTTTCTTAACAAACGAGCCGAACACGATAGAGCCAATTTGATATCCCTAATATTAATATATATAAATAATATATTATATTAATTATACAACTTATATAAATATATAATATCAACATTAATATATTAATAATATAATATATTATTATTATATTATTATTATTAATAATTTATTATATATTATAATTAATAAAATTTAATTTTTTAAAATATCTTAAATTAAATATATATAACTATTTTAAATTATTTTAAATTTCGAACAATAACGATTCGAACACGAACGAACGCATCCCTGTTTGTGTTTGGTTTGTTTAACTAACCAAACGAAAAAAATTGTTCACGTTCGTCTCGTTTACTTATCGAATGAATTGAACACGAACTCATTGACGAACCGAACACGAACTGTTCGCGAATAACGAGTTTTTTTTTACAGCACTACCTGCCACTAAATATTTATTAAATTCTGCGGCCCCTTGATTTAATCACTAATATTAATTACATAAATTGTCCCACTTAATTGTATATATAAGAACGAAAAAGATATTTAGAGAATAATACGTAGCGGTCAATTCTATTAATTATATTTAATTTAAAATTAGCTTTCAATTTATGCTGACATTTCCATTCGTCATGATCGCTGGATTTAGCAAATGGGGTTGTTGAAATAATAAATAATATTTAACTAATGTATATGATGTAAACTTTTTGAAACTCGATCGCTAGTCGATGGTATAGGGCTCTTGTTGACAGAGCGACACTAGACTATCGATCAGAGGATGAATCATCGTAATCTAATGGTTTGCTCGTTTCTCAACGAGGAGAGCTTGAGAGATGATACTATAAGACTCTTTGTTGCGTTATTAATTCTTGATATTAGATGAGGAGTCTCGGGGAGTTTGTGAAATGGTTGGTGATGTTGTGGAACTGGATCTTTTTTTGTATTGGATCTATTGGAAGGTAGGCTATTGTATTTGTTCGACTTTCTTGTAGTAGTTGGCTCATATACATATTTGTCTTGTTTCAGTCTGATTGGTTCGAGCCTGGATCACTTGGTCGCCTTTTTGTTCTCGTTGTGGCTCGATCAATTTTGGATTTGGGTCAGACTGCTGCATCCTATCGGCTTTCGAATTGGCTCAGATGACTGCATTTGGTCGGATATGCGGACCTCATGATCTTCAGTCAACGGGCCCTCCTTCATCATATTATTCTATTCTGAACCGTTAGATCTTCTCAAGCTCAACATTTGAACATTTTTTATGTACAATAGTTATTGTTAAATCTCTTACTCCCACATGCTTTAATGATCTATTACTTATGTGAGAGCTCCTCAAATAGAAACATTTTGAATGTCATCATAAATTACATGAACCACTCAATTTTAATCAAACCTTAATATTTTATTAAGCACTAAAATTTTTTTTTTCTTTTTAATTTAACATTTAGCTATCACATCATAAATGTTATCATTTTTAAATTAAATTATAATTTATTATTTTAAATATATAAATATTGTATCTTATATGTCAATGATTTAAGCGATAAATTAAATTTAATTATGCTAAATACAAATTAATATGTTAGTCTTCCATATTTCATTTCTTTATCGAATATCTAATTTTATATGAAATGGGATCATAACATTACTAGAATATATATTTTTGACATTAATTTAATTAAAATATATGCTATAATCTGAATTTTTTTTTTAATATGAATGTAAAATAAAATTAAAGAAGGCGTTTAGCAGATCCAGGAGGAGAGTAGTAATCGTCAAAAGGGTTCTGAAACAGGGGAGAGAAAGGTGGGTGTAACGAGGTGGCAGCTGCTACGGCGGCGGCAGAGGTTTTCCTGCGGTGGATCTCGCATAAGAGATGTTTCTCCCCCTTGCGAAAGAACTCGTTGGCGAACTCCCATCTCTCCGGCACCACTTTTCTGAATCCCTATAGTAGAAGCACCATTACACATATGAAGTCGGGTCGGAGAAAATGAAACAGAGAATGAGCAGGGGAAAGCTGAAAGTTAAAAGTTAAATATACGGACGTAGGTGTTGAGCTGGCGGACGAAGGAGGAGAAGTTGTTGTGTTTGAAGTAGTTGGGGAGGAGGTCGCGCGCAAACTCGGGAGGACGCCAGACGACGAAGGTGGAGACGCGGTCGTCGCCCCACGAGACGATGTGGTTGGTGGATGGGTCGTCGACAAGCTGGTACGTCTTGGTTAGAAATGGAGCAGGCATCCCCTGCCCCGTCTCTCCGCAGCCGCCGGCCTCCCAGTTTCTATCCAGCATTTCACCACCTGGATGGATAGGAGGGGGAGGAAAGTAGGCTGCTTGGCTTTCTTTTTTTATGGGAAGAATGGGGGAGGCGAAGAGAATATGTTTCTGTCTGTCGACTTGGGAGACGGAAGAGAGCGAGAAGGTGGTTTCAAGTTTCGATGCAAACCCGTGACTCTGTATTTCTCTTCTCTTCTCTGCTATTTCTTGAGGTGCGCCACGGGCTTCGAAGCTTTTAGCCGATATATGGACTCGTTGGTTTTGGTTGCTTCTTGGTTTATTATATGATGCTGTCTCTCTCCCTCTCTCTCTCTCTCTCTCTATCTCTATCTCCAACATCAGCCAAGTCATGTGTCGGACGGTGGGAATCTGACTATTCGTGTGAAATTTTTTTTGATGCGTTTTTCTAGGGTTGTTTTACAATGTCAATTTTTTTTAATGATGGGGTGAATTATAAAGTATTTTGTTTAAATTTGCAAAGATAAGAACATATAAAGTTTTGATTTGGCTTGTAAAGTTGAAATTTAATTCAATTTTATCGTTGAGGAACTACTAGTATATATACATTATAAAGTCATTATTATGATTTCTTCTTTCACTATCATCTGAGGTTTTAATTGGAAACTTTATATGCCCACAATTATGAATATTTCATATAGGATGACAATATGGTTCCTTCATCTAAGAGAGGTAAAAAAAAAGAATAAGTTGAATAATGTTTAGTTAGCTTGTAGAGCATGACAACCTAAATTTAAACTTAGTAATGATTTCTTATTATGTTTTAAGGGGAGGTGTGGATGGTGAAACCTTGTTACTGATATAACTCTTTAGCTGAATGTCTTGAACGTATATGGAAGTGTTTAGCCGACTAATTCTTATAACATATAGATAGACGGTTGGTAGTCAACCATGTTGCCAGATACTTCTACTAGTGACGAGTAACATTAGGTGAGGTGTGCAAGATAAAAACTTGTTATCTCTATGTCAATAGGAAAGATTGAATATTCAAAGGATAATGTAAAAATAATGTTAAAGAAGTGACTAACTTTAAATTATTATATCATAAGACAAAGCAAAAGAATTTAATGGAATATATACATAAGATTTATAATGATTCATTCACAAGACCCAAGTTCTTTGTGGCAAGCAATTGAGGATAAGTTTATTATCACACAAGATATGTTCATTATCACACAAGATTGGAGTATAAATCATGTATTAAATAAATATGAAATACTCTCTGATAAATATAGTATAAATATGAGCAATAAAGACGCTTATTAGCCCGGAGGTAAAAAGACTTAGAAGCTTTAACTCATAGAGTATTTTAGAGCCATGCAACCATATCGTGGTATCTATAAGGGAAGCTGCGTCAAGGTGTCGAGGGTTGTCTTTGGACATGAAATGGATCTTCACCAGTCATCAATTTGGGGCATTGGGATAGTAATCTATCAAAATCTGGTACCTGCAACAATTGGGTCAAAATGACCTGTTGCACAACATTTATCCCAACGAGGCAATGACACAACTTTTGATTCTAAGAAGGTAAATGGTTGGCATGTAAATTAAGATGGTAAGCACTACAACGATTTGGCATGGGTAATCACCTATGCATATTTTTTCTTATAATTATTTATTTCTCTGTGCTAGCGTTTTTCATTTTCGATCACATAGCTGAACATGACCAGAAAATATATCATTCGATCAATATGAAACTAGTAGACACAGTGAAGTCCTCCATGTCAATTTTTCATTCACCATTTTCTCGATAGAGACTTGTTCTTAGCTCCTTCAACACTTCATTGAAAAAATCAACATGCTGACAAAATAGTGTTTCCTTCTGTTATATAGAGGCAAACTTAAGGCTGGAATCCAGCAATGTTTTTAGCCAAACTGGGCTTGAATCTAAGGTGATTTTATTCAAACAAGCTGGGCTCATTTTTGTACTTGTGGGTTAAAGTATTATTTAAGAACATAAATTTTTTTATTTATTTTGGTTAAAATGAAATCATTTTTTATGAGTTTTTTAAATTCATTCTACAGAATTTAAAATAAATGTTAATTTTTTTAAAAAAATTTATTTGAGTCATTTATATAAGTACCAGTCAATTCTTATGCATGTAAATATTTAACACAAACTTTGTACTTTACATTTATACCACCCAAACATTTCATGCACATCAATAATATCACCATTGTAACTTTTAAAAAATGAAATACATATAGATATTTGATATGTAAATACATAGGAATTGAATGGTATGTTTATAAAGCTTTGCTTTTTTTTTTTTTTAATTTGGTTTTTAAGCCCCGCTTTAAAAAAAAAATGGATACAACCCAGAGTATGTTTGGCGAAACAAAAGTGCACCTGAGCGGCTTTGGGGAAAACTAGCAAGAGTTTATTTATAGGTACGAATTTGAGGCTAGGCGCAACATATTGATTTAAATAAAAAATGCAATGGTTACATTTGAAAATTATCACAACATTTGGGTATTCCACATGAGCGAACTCAAAAGGATCAAGGAGAATGATAAGTAAACTCACCAAAGCTCCATAAGATGCACTCAACCCCATTAGTATTCGCTTGGCTCATTTGGCCCGCTATCTTCCCCTAGGTTCTTGCTTATGGAGTAGACGACCTCCACTTCATGCTACGGTAGGTGGTACGGGTCACCGCCTACACAACACACCCACCATTTATGGGTCACTGCCTCTTTGGCACAAACACTCATTTGAGTCACTGCCTCTGCGACATCCCACCATTTCGTGTCACTGCTTCCACGACACACCCATCCTTTAGGTCTTTGCTTCCACGACTTGCCCACCTTTTTGGGTCACTGGCTCTATAGCACACACACATTTCTGAGTCACTGCCTCTATGATGCTCTTGAGCACTCTAGTGTATGATTGTTCACATGTGCATTTGCATGTGTGCATGAGTAAAGAGTTAGGCTCGATAGGTGAGTGACCCCGTGTTTATCGCAATGCCTTGACGAGCATTGATTGTCGGGTCAACCCCGACTAGCAATGCGAGTTAAAGCATCAGAATTGACACGAGTATGACTATTATAAATATCCAATGGATCTAACTCGTGTCACATTAATTGTTGTGAGTTCATATTTAATGAACCTTATTTTAAAACTATAAAATATATATTTTGGTGTGCTTGTTCGCGTTTGTTTGATACGCATGGTAGTACATTAGGACAGTTTTCTGTAGAGGGTCATGTCTTATATATGTTCACACACATATACAATAAAAAGGGGAAGCAACGTGATGATAATTACTAACCCTTTTCTGTAGAGGCTGCTTAGATCCCCCATCAGGCATGGCCTAGACATGTTGCATGCTTGTTTGAATTTCCTAGTGATATTATTTTCATGCAGGTTTAGTTTTTTTTTTTTATCTTTCTCGATGTACCTTTTAGAGTCCTATGAAGATTTTTGCATTAGAATAATATATGGGCACGGGTTTCGAGGTGCAAGGCGTACAAAAGCACGTGACGGAGACCACAAGCAGCTGACTCATGTCGCATACCTTAATTCTAAATCTCATTTATGTGTAGAATTAGTACCAAGCATGTAGTTATGCAATGTGTGGCCACCTTTTTTCTGTTTCTGGGATATGTTGCTGACATAGTGGCACCCGACCTTTTATTACTACTAAAAATTTGCATGTTTGGATTGTTTTCCCTATTTATTTCTGGTTAATCTGAGACGCTACAAAAATTATAATCTAAGCTCATTAAGGACCTTTAAATTATAAATTTTGTACTAAAAAATACCTATCATAAGATATTGAGGTAATTTAAACTTTAGTTTTAAAATTTTCAGGATTTTTCAAAACCTGCTTTTATTATTATGCATGGTCTTCGGGTCGGATTTTAAATGTGTTGCATAGCATGAATCTCAACCAATTCATAATTAATCGGGTCTCCAAAATATCTAAGAACCGCTAGATATCTACATCATTCTATATGTTCCGAGGAGAAGTCCCCGTGCTTCTCCAACCCGACCATCCTAGCACAAATTTCTATTTAGGTGGTTCTCTAGTGCGCTGAGAGTGTTAGCGACTTCCCCAACTCAGACGGGAAGTAAGTCCTATTGTGAGTGTTTCTAGCTTTGTAGTTGAACCTCCTAATCTCTTCCTTTCTAGCGGCAACATTGTCACCCCAA